ACGACACAGCTCTGCTTTGCTCCAATGCTTGCCCTATACGCCTGCACGAAGCCATGCAAGATAGCATTGGGAAAGTTATAACCTGGATGCATGATTGGAAGTTGCAGCCAAACGTTGATAAAACGGCAGCTATGTACATTTCCCCTTCTCCCCCTTCCCTGCCACTTTGTTTTCCTTCTTCAAGTGTTGCTATTCGTATTGTTGAAGAGCATAAGCATCTTGGCGTTATCATTGACTCTAAATTGTCGTGGTCACCCCATGTGCAGTATGTCTGCAAGCGCACAAGCTCCATCCTTGGGGCTCTTCAAGCCCACTGTAGACATCTTCCTCTTTCTTGCAAACGCTTGTTTTATCGTTGCTATATATTGCCCTTACTTGACTACTGTGAAACTGCTTGGTCTGGCATAACTACTACTGTATTGAACAAGCTAGAAACCCATAACCGCATGCTCCTTAAAATCTTATTTAGCAAAGATCGTCGCTTTCCCTCTGCTAGTCTTTACGAAATTGCCAAGATCAGTCCCCTTTCCACTCGACATAAGTACCACCTCTGTGTTCTCATACATAAAATATTACTAAATAAAATACCCTTGCATATGCAGGCTTATAATTGGTTCTCCGAAACACGGAATACCCGGAACTCACTCAGTCTCCCACGCGCTGCCTCCACCCTATTCACTAGATCCCCGATCTTTGCTGGCTATGTGTTTTGGGCAACATTACCAACGCAGGCCAAGACCAGCACGTCGATGGATAATTTTGTTGCTAAAATCTCTGCTCAATTATAGGTTTCATGTATATCCTGCTGGTTTGTCTCCTCCTTTGCCTTCTTTGCCTCTTATTTGTATTCTTTTATCTGTTTTACTGCTGTGGTTGGCTTTCACCCTTGTCTCAGTTTTATTGGCCGTCATCATGATGTGCCATGAGATAATGATATAAATACAAATACAAATACAAGCAGGATTGTAAACATTTAGGAGTGCAGCTCAGCAGTAATCTTAAGACAAGTATAATGTCCAATTACGACCTTCCTCCTGGACACTCTGTGCAGATGGACAGTGCAGACTTAAACTTCAAGCAGGATTGTAAACATTTAGGAGTGCAGCTCAGCAGTAATCTTAATAAGTTCGATCATCATTTCAATACCATATCCAAGAAATTTCAGCAAAGAGTAAATCTATTGTGCTATATCATAGTATATGGGTCGCTATCTACCTTACCCCAACATTGCCTTGCTCTACAAATCATATGTACGCCCCACAATAGAATATGCCTGTTGTGAACCCTCTGGTTCTCTAAAGTGTCAGGAACGAACGACCCCACACGGCACGAGGACAACTATTTATTCTCAACAGTATAATTATTTCACTTCCATCGACTACCAATAATGAACAATGAATGAATGAATGAATGAATTACTAACACTGACACCACCAGGTAGTTATAGCGTGAAAATGACAGCGTATATGAGAAAAGCATACACATACCACATACAACTACAGCGCACACAGCAAACCGCACATAGCGCATGTAGCGTATTACGTCGTAAACATCAGCGGTACGGCGGTGTCGGGATACAACTGCATTGAAACGAACACAATGTCACAAGCGAGAAGGCCGTTCACCCTCGAGAACTTGTGGTTTCACAACATTCTCCCCACCAAAGGGCTTCTCACCGCCGTACAACAACTCACACGTCAAATGATTTGGGGCTTACTACGCGTCATTTGCTGCTGCGGTGGTGGCCATGGTAGAATATCACTAATGCCCACCACTTCGGCCAACTCGATTTCGCGAAGCTTGCCGCTGTAGGCTGTCGCACACGACACTGTCACCGATCCACTTCGACATGGGGCGGACGCTGGACCAGACAACACACAACCGATAATTTCACCAAGCTCGCCGATTCGGACTGTCACACACGACACGGTCACCGGTACACTGCTTCGACCCGGGGCGGGCGAGGAACCCGAGGACACACATCCGATCTCTGTGTTCCACGCAGTCTCGCCGTTGACCTCTTCCGTGCTAACCAGTATCGCCCTTCTCGTTATCCTCTACGCCTTGCGCTTCTACGTCTTGCGCCTCTACGTCTTGCGCCTCTACGTCTTGCGCCTCTACGTCCTTCGGCCGAGACTCCAGCTGCTTCTGAGCGTCTCCGACCGATGTCGCCATGCACTGCACCGACGCAGTGGGCCTTGGATCTGATCCTCCCACTGGCTTCGAATACTCCTCTGACCGCTGCTTGTCTGTAAGCAAAGTCTTCCACGCCTTGTCCGGCGTCCTTTCGCGTGAGGCAAGCAAATCTCAATTTGCTCCCTCATATTTACTGCTGGCGATGCGCTCGTTCATCTTCTTGAGCTTTTCGTCAAACTCTGTGCGGAGCGCACCCTCTTGCCGTCTAGCACTGCACTCTTCAAACTCCTCGCTCTGTCGGAGCCTCTTCTCCACGTATTCTCTCAACCTATCGCCTTCAAATCCATACCGAATTCCGCTAGCGATAAAGCTGGCTTCAATGATCCATAGTTCCTGTGCCATGCTCGCTTCGTATCCTGGCGTTGTTTGTTTGTTTGTTTGTATTTATTTTGATTCGCAAGTTCAAACGGGCATAAAACCCAATAACATGAAAGCGAATATGAAAATCATAATGAGAATGAGAATTCAAATACTTTGATCTTCAACGTAGAGTCAGCGGTACATCAGAGGGAGATCGGGTACAACAGAAAGAGAACAGAAAAAATCAGGCGTGGTCGCCAAATGTTGTGAACCCTCTGGTTCTCTAAAGTGTCAGGAACGAACGACCCCGCACGGCACGAGGACAACTATTTATTCTCAACAGTATATTTCACTTCCATCGACTAACAATAATGAACAATTAATGAATGAATGAATGAATAACTAACACTAAAACCACCAGGTAGTTACATGTATAGCGTGAAAATGACAGCGTATAATTATGAGAAAAGCATACACATACAACATACAACTACAGCGCACACAGCAAACCGCACATAGCGCATGTAGCGTATACTACGTCGTAAACATCAGCGGTACGGCGGAGTCGGGATACAACTGCATTGAAACAAACACAATGTCACAAGCGAGAAGGCCTTTCACTCTCGAGAACTTGTGGTTTCACAACAATGCCCCACAGTCTGGAGCCTCACCCTAACTACTGCACAGCTAGCTATGTTTGATGTCCTGTAGGCTAAGGTGTGTAGACGGTTACTCAGCCAAGGTAGAATGTGACAGATATGAATCAAAAGATAGTTTAAAAAATAGTATGTGTATCTTAGAATCCCTCCATTTCAGCCGTACCCTCATCGCTATTAAATTTTATACAAATCTTTTCAAACACATCCACTTTCAACCTCATGTCTTATCCATTTTTGATATCAATATTTCTCGTAGTGAACGCAGACCGAACAAGCCTGTTTTCAACTCTCATGGGAAATTTTCATCTTCCCTTTTCTTATAAAATCGGCAAATTATGGAATTGTCTTCCACCCAAGATTATCGCTATAGATTCTGTTTCAGAATTTCGGACACAATTTCGCGCTCATTATAAACCGCATATTTTGCCTGCACAAGTCGCTTCACTAGTATATAATTAAAGGATCATTTTCATTGTTAGGAGACCCCCTCGATAGGCTATGCCTTTGGGAAATCCTTTAAATCATAAAATTTACATAATTACATTCAACTACAATCAGTCAATGGAACCTGTTTTACTCTAAACTTGTTGTTGTTGCTGTTGTCGCGAAGGCGGAGTAAGCTCACTTCTTTCCGTTCCCTCATTGCCTTCAAACTCCACGTGTGTACCGGATACCGATCGAATACAGTTATTTCCTTGCCTCACTCGCGTTGTACCTCCTTAATCAGCTACCTACATTGTATGACAATGGCAGAAAAACGCCAGTGTTGACTGTTGCAGTGACAAAATACCCTTTGTTGTAGGTGACAAGCCTCGCCAGCCCCGTAACACGCGTTTTGGTGACTCTTCTGGAGGTAAGGCAATAAAGTGAAGGTAAGAGGCGAGCTTACTCGGGCACACACCTGGACTCGAGGTCAGAACTGCATGCTCTGTCTGCTCGGTTCTGTTATGAAGAAATCAGTAAAGCACTGCCGCTTTTATAGGGCGAAAATGAAGGAGATTCTGCATGACGCCATGCGTCAGGAAAAAGGGAAGAAGTCTGTTGCGCCCGTCGAAACAGAACGTGGGAAGTGATGGCAACAGTAATAGCGTGTTATAGTGCACCACATTATTGTGTTGAGCCCGCGTCGCTGGCAGAAGGATGTTGTCCTCCTTGATTTGCTTCAAGTATCGCGTACACGTAGGATACAGTGCATTACGAGATTGTCAGTTCTCCATACAGGCATGATGATTGACAGCATGTTCTAATTCTTTGTTGCCATCTTCAATAGGTCCGTCAAATAGTAGTAATAGGTTTTTGCATTTGACCCGACGCGCTTGTCAGGAGTACTACTACTACTTGCTTTCGTGGAGTGTGGCTGGTGAACTGTTCGTGCTGTGATCTGCAAGCGTCGTACCGTGTGGGTCAAATGAAAAACACCTATCACTACATCATACATGTAGCATATTCTAAGACTAAGACTAAGGGCCTTTAAGGCGGAGGACCAAGGTGTTCGCAGTGCGCCTTACCATGCTTATAAAGGTACAAGTCTAACCGTCCACAGACTGTCAGTAGACAAAGCCCCGGTACTGCGGTAGGCGGTCTTGCCAGTCTTGCCAGTCCCCTTCGGTTCAAGTACAGTAGTAGCACCTACGCATGGTCGCCCGCTCTCTAGCCTTCTCTATTAAAGTATTATCACGTAATGCTATAACATTACTGTTGAGTGTTGTTCTCTGATCAACACCCTGCACCTACACCCAGCACCTACACCTACACCTACACCTACACACAATCATCGTGACAATGTCGTTACTAACACGTACATGTAGGCCAACTGAGCAACTCTTTCTGCCACAACTTGCTTATACAAAACCAGCTCTCGCTCTCGCGGCAGATTGCATTTTACTTTCCTTGTTCAAGAGTACAGTTTGAGCGATATTTGCTCCGTTTGATTTGGTACGCCGTCAGAGACAGAGAGGAGGAACCTGCCTGTGAAACCGAAGCTGATTTCAACATCAGAGGTACTACAGTAGGTAAGCAGTGACGTGTTGTTGTTGTTACTTTTTTTATACTTCACCAGAATTACAGGCAGTAGAATGCTTTTCACTAGACCAGGTCTTATTCAAAATTTTGAAGGACGCTTCACGCAGCTTCATTATACTTGAATTGTTTGCAGGCAACCTGCCTACACTCAAGAGAGCACTGCATTTCACACAAATCCATTGGTATCGTTACAACGTTTCGGTCTTTATGACCATCATCAGGAATGAAGTGGACATGGAAAGAACAGCAGTATAAAAGAAGAAGGCAAGCAAGCAAGGTCTTATTATTATTATTATTACTACAAACCCTCAAACCAGTTAGTATTATTATTATTATTATTTTATTGACGACTACACCATAGCTCAGTGGTTAGAGCATCGTTGGCTACAAGCGAGGGTCTCTGGTTCGAGTCCTGGTGGTGACAGTCAATTTTTTCTTCAGACTTTTCCCGTTTGTCTCTTTCCCTCAAACCAGTTAATATTTTATGACTTGGGGCTCCCCGCGTGCTAGTTTGTACGTGAGGTGTGTGGGTTACAGTGAGGGCTGCGTCCCACCCGCCTGTGTGGATTAACAGGAAGTGTGAGTTACGAAGTCTGAAGAAAATGTTGAACGGCCTCTGCTGAGATGACGACTACACCATAGCTCAGTGGTTAGAGCATCGTTGGCTACAAGCGAGGGTCCCTGGTTCGAGTCCTGGTGGTGACAGTCAATTTTTTCTTCAGACTTTTCCCGTTTGTCTCTTTCCCTCAAACCAGTTAATATTTTATGACTTGGGGCTCCCGCGTGCTAGTTTGTACGTGAGGTGTGTGGGTTACAGTGAGGGCTGCGTCCCACCCGCCTGTGTGGATTCACAGGAAGTGTGAGTTACGAAGTCTGAAGAAAATGTTGAACGGCCTCTGCTGAGATGACGACTACACCATAGCTTAGTGGTTAGAGCATCGTTGGCTACAAGCGAGGGTCCCTGGTTCGAGTCCTGGTGGTGACAGTCAATTTTTTCTTCAGACTTTTCCCGTTTGTCTCTTTCCCTCAAACCAGTTAATATTTTATGACTTGGGGCTCCCGCGTGCTAGTTTGTACGTGAGGTGTGTGGGTTACAGTGAGGGCTGCGTCCCACCCGCCTGTGTGGATTCACAGGAAGTGTGAGTTACGAAGTCTGAAGAAAATGTTGAACGGCCTCTGCTGAGATGACGACTACACCATAGCTTAGTGGTTAGAGCATCGTTGGCTACAAGCGAGGGTCCCTGGTTCGAGTCCTGGTGGTGACAGTCAATTTTTTCTTCAGACTTTTCCCGTTTGTCTCTTTCCCTCAAACCAGTTAATATTTTATGACTTGGGGCTCCCGCGTGCTAGTTTGTACGTGAGGTGTGTGGGTTACAGTGAGGGCTGCGTCCCACCCGCCTGTGTGGATTCACAGGAAGTGTGAGTTACGAAGTCTGAAGAAAATGTTGAACGGCCTCTGCTGGGATGACGACTACACCATAGCTCAGTGGTTAGAGCATCGTTGGCTACAAGCGAGGGTCCCTGGTTCGAGTCCTGGTGGTGACAGTCAATTTTTTCTTCAGACTTTCCCCGTTTGTCTCTTTCCCTCAAACCAGTTAATATTATTATTATTATTATTTGAACAAACGGCGAGGAGACAACAATTTGATAACCGCAATCAGTAATACAAGCTGGATCGACATTTGTGTACACTGTATTCATGTACAGTTTTACATTACATGAATACAGTGTACACAAATGTCGATCCAGCTTGTATTACTGATTGCGGTTATCAAATTATTATTATTATTATTATTATAGGCTTTTCCGCGTTGGCATAGCCAAGCAAGCTTGGCTAGCCTTCGCATAAGCTGCTCCATAATGATGAGACGAAACAATGAATGCATGTATATACGATCTAGGACAGAACCAAGGTTGAGGATATTTTTGAAGAAAGCTGCAAGTTGTGTTGAGGAACACAAAGTTGCAAACTCTACGAAAGTAAACTGCAAGAAATGTTTTGGGGTTGATCTCATGATTATTGTAGTCACAGGTTGTGTTAGTAGCATTAAAGGTTGTGTTTTCACAGGTATATTGTTTACATTCCTATTCTTTTACAGGATAATATTTTCATAAAATATGTTAGTCAATGAGTTATGTTATGGTACACCGTACGGCCATGTAGCTGCCACAGGTGGAAGCAGTATTAGGCTTTGGTGTATGCTTTTATCACATTGCTGCATAGGTCTTTCCAGTCTTGTCGTGACTGGGAGATGGCATGGAGGTTCTCAAGTTCCTCGCGTTTCTTGAACGACCCCCCGATACGCTGCAGGTCCTGGTGCAGACTCAGTGGCAGAGTGGTACGTGGCCGGCCCCGCCAGGTGGCAGCGGAACTTGGATTTTCGAAGTATGCTGCCATCATAACGCGTGCTGGTACATCGTCGTTTAGTCTCAGGACATGGCCAAAGAGCCGCCACCTCGCTCTCACAATGGTTTCCCCAAGGGGCTGGGAGTTGGTGCGTTTATACAGGTCGATATTTTTGATCCTCCCGACGACTGTTCGTCAGGTCTAGTTCCCACAAATGACTTTACCCCTCTCGCCACCCCCCCCCCCCAAAAAAAGGGCTCCCTAAACTAAAATTTAAACTAACACAGTACAACACATAACAATGTAATGTACTCAGCTAAGGTACGTATCAAAGATCTCAATAAACTCAACATATGTTTAGTAAAATTAGGTGAAAAGAATAGGCGTCCGAACTCCAAATGAAGTCCAACGTTATCAGTCTTGTCAGCACTGTTGCAGCTTGACCCTGTTTCCGTGGAGGAAGCAAACACTGCTTTGAGGCGAGTGACTATAGTGACGCCTTCTGGATGAAGAGTTTCTAACAGCTGTTCACAACTAGGCCACCGTCAACTATAGTGACGGAAACTGCTGGCATAATCGTTTCGCCACTACAATGTGTATAGAGTTTCTAAACTGAAACATGTCTGGAGAAGGGCTGAGGACTGATATGAGGTTTCCTGCAGCTTCATCGTGTCGCGGTCGAAAACGTTACACTTGGCAACTACAACCACCCTGCAACAAATCCGACCCGATCGACTCAACTCGAAACCAAGGAGGTCCAAGCCCAAGGACTGAAATGTCTAGCCAGAGCCAGGGTCAGGGATGAGCTTTGGTTTGGGCCTGGCATGGCATGTACTGCGAAGTGTGCGCACGCGCACGTACATGTACTGTAGTATGCAATGTATTAGGGCTGAAACGGTTACACATTTGTGCTTAAAGGGGAAGTTAAGGCAAAAATTAAAATTTCACCAGTTGTAGTCTTCGGGGTGCTGAGTCGAATGGTCTTGGTCCGAGGAAGCTGAGACGCTCCCTTCCTACTTGAATCCCAATCGAACTCGCGCACTTCCACCGAAACTGGGTGACTGCGCCCTACGAGATGGGGATTTGTATGCAAACTGTCACTAAAAGCGCCATTTCGTTCTTATAAAAGCACGGATGACCGCGATTGGCCCATATGTTGTAGTCTTTTGGACGCTGAGTCGACTGGTTTTGGTCCGAAAAGGCTGCGATGCAGCGTTCCTCCTTTATTCCCAATCGAACATGGCTGAACAAGCGGTCACGTGCTCCTGGGTGCCCAAATCACCTGGTCACCACGCCAGCAGGCGACAAATTTCACACCAAGGTTCAACTCGAGTGACAGGAGTGCATCCAAAAAAGGTCAAACAGGCTAGTAAGTTGTACCCTGCAGGCACGGTGACCAGGTGACTGGTGTACGCAGGAGCACGTGACCGCTTGTTCAACCATGTTCGATTGGGAATAAAGGAGGAACGCTACATCGCAGCCTTTTCGGACCAAAACCAGTCGACTCAGCGTCCAAAAGACTACAACATATGGGCCAATCGCGGTCATCCGTGCTTTTATAAGAACGAAATGGCGCTTTTAGTGACATTTTGCATACAAATCCCCATCTCGTAGGGCGCAGTCACCCAGTTTCGGTGGAAGTGCGCGAGTTCGATTGGGATTCAAGTAGGAAGGGAGCGTCTCAGCTTCCTCGGACCAAGACCATTCGACTCAGCACCCCGAAGACTACAACTGGTGAAATTTTAATTTTTGCCTTAACTTCCCCTTTAAGGGGGCAGCCTACCCATAAATTTCATATGGCATTCAATTGACCGTAACTTTGGTGTTTCTCAGTGGATTTGAGTGAAATTTTGACCACACACTCCTGCCACTATGCTGGCCCTCAGGACATGATTTACAAGTTCTTGCGCCTCACTGACAGGCTTTCCAGGCCGGAAAAACTCAAATTTCCGGCATAGTGCCACGGTGTGCGAGCCACCCAGGAGCCAAACAAATGCATTTACATTTTTTTCACATTTTCGTGCCCATTCTGTCCGTGCGCGGGACCCAAACCTAAAACAAGTCCAGAAGCAGCCATGGGTGGTGGGGTAGGGCCCCTCAACGTGGCCCTGGAATCTGTCACAACGGAACGAGTGGGCGTTCTCTCGCGGACTCCCACAGACCCAAGTCAATTTTTGAATTTTTTAGGTTTAGGGTGTGCTACGAGGTCGTACCTTTGATACAACATCCAGTGCTGGGACCTCCACAGCAAGCCATTTCCACAGCGCTGCACACCAAATCCAGGATGCCCTCAGAAACCGGCAAAGACTGCCACTCACGTTTCACTACTGCCTAGTACTGAATCCTACCTGACTTCTTGACACGACTCAAACTTGCCAAAGTCACTAAATCAACGTCAACTACAATAATCAAGCCACATATCTGCAACGTCACGAGGGTGCTGGCAAAAGTCCTGCTGCACGGCGGCGGGCTTCGCCCGCCGCCGTGCAGCCCAATACGTGTTTTTTTAACGTGATTTTTTGGACTTTTTTGGACTTGGGGCAAAATTCTGCACACTTTCGCGTGTTTCCATGATACGACAAGTTGCGCACGGTCTGCTCACATTCAAATACAGTGCTGCCAACAAATGACAGCATGCAACAA